CGATCCTAATATTGTGTACCGCTATTTGGTTCTCTCATAACAGATCACATGAAGAGGAAATGGAACAGATATCATTAAATTTTTTGATGGGTTAGTATGAAATTTAATGTTGGGGAATTAGAATTTAAGGGATATACGAAATATGGCTTCACACACCCTAGGAAGATCATATTTTTCAAGTAAATTAATCCTTCTGACCAAAATTCCCTTCATAATATCTCACAAAATTTCAGAACACCTTCGAGCATCTTCAAGCTAGTTTCCTCACTGGTGGTCATTCTCCGTCTGTACATCATCTTGACGAGCTTCTTCGAGCTTTGTCGTCTCCATTTGTACATCACCCAATGTCTTGGTCAAAAGTTTGAAGGTTCTGGCAGTCGCCGCTTCTCACCTTCGCCGTCCACTGTGAGCCACCGTCAATGATGTCACATATCTAACCATGCTCAACCTTTTGACTTCTCCGTCGTGATTGCTTGTCACCTTCTCCGTCGTTGGCTTCGAATCTCTCACTGGGCTCCACCATTTGCTTTGTTTCACTTTTACTATGATTCGGCAACAATGGTTCAATTTCTTCTTCTCTAGCGAACACTACAGACAAATAAATAAGGGTAACGTGGGTAATTGTAAAATTAGGTGTATATTTATTTTTGGGAGAATGACAATTAAGGACCTACTAAGAGCATTAATCTCAATTACAGACCGTGAAATTTTAAAATCTCAGTTAAGGACTATGATCCTTAATTGTGATTAAAAAAATGTAATTTGTGAGGTGGGATTTATTATTGCCATTTGAAAATTCATTAACCCAACTTGAGAAAATTTGTAAAGTATATTGTGAAAACATGAAACCCCACTTGAAAATTGAATGTTTAACAAAAAGGGCCACTTGAAAATTCACTAACTCAACTTGAAAAAGTTTCTAACATATATTGTGAAAACATGAAACTTCACTTGGGAATCAATTGTTTAATAAAAAACACCACTTTGGATAAGTCACTTTTTATTAAGATTCTCAAGTGGGGTTTCATTTTTTCACAATAAACGTTAAAAAATTTTTCAAGTCTAGTTAGTGAATTACTAAGTGGCGCTTTTTGTTAAACATTTCATTTCCAAGTGGGGTTTCATGTTTTCACAATATACGTTAGTAATTTTTTCAAGTTGAGTTGGTGAATTTCCAAGTCACATTAGTGAATCTCACCTCACAAATTACATTTTTTTTATCATAATTAAGGACCATGGTCCTTAACTCTGATTTCAAAATTTCACGGTCTGTAATTGAGATTAATATTCTTAACAGGTCCTTAATTATCATTCTTCCTTTATTTTTCTCATTAATGGTCCCCTCACACACACACACTCTCTTTCTCTGCCGAAGGCACCATAGCAGAGAGGGTTCAACTCGGTGATGATGGCATCGTGGATGACTGTTGCAGCAGGACTGTAGGAGGCCAACTGCCCCAAGGGAGATTGCAGCGGTAGGGATATATGGATCAGATACAATTGGCTTAATTTTAACAAAGATAATTTTTCAAAGAACATTTAAGCTTTTGATGATTTTTTTTTAAAAAATAATTATAATTATCAATTTAAATAATTATAAATTTAAAAATTTTAATCATAAAATATAATATTTAAATTTTAAGTATAATAATTAGCTGTTAATTTAATTTTTTATTTATAAATATTTAAATTGATATTTATAATTATTTTATAGATAATTTTATTGGAGTAATTCATTCTTTTGCCTAATTTCTTTTCCGTTTTATTATCACTGCCAACGTGTTTCTTAACACCGTTAGTCTTTTTTCAGCGGTTCTATATATAAAGGATTAACAGTTCTAACGGTGCGGAAGAAACTTGAAGAGTTGAAGGATTTCATTTTCTTTTCCAATTCCATGTCCATCAAGTCGTGAAAGTTTGGCGCTCGTTCAGGTGGTCTCGTGTCGCCTTCTGGATCGTTCCTCTCTCAGGAAACCCAACGCAGCTAGTGGACTTTCGTAAGCTTGTTTGCTCTCTTGTGTGTGTAAGTATATTTCCATTCTACATGAGATTCGAGCCTCCACCTCTTTGCAATCACAAAAGAAAATTACATGTTATTTACATTATTGCTGCATTTTCTTCCTATCATTGGCATGAGTTTGCATAATTTGTACGTTTTGAAATGGCGTTTGGGCCTTTATATTCATGATACCATAAGTCTGATAATTCATCCTAGCTGAATGGATTAGCACCCATTCATTTCCCCCCTCTTCCACTTTCGTTGTGTTTTTGGTTTCTCTGCATCCCTGAGCTGCTTTTTCATCCCCTAGCAGTTGGTTCTATCGATGTACAAGAAGCCACGTATTCCGGATTTAGTTTTAGTTAGGCGAATGTTCATCTTTTTCTCCATAAACGTGGACATCTTGCTCACCACGGGGCCATCCCATAGGTGAGTCCATTAAATAATATATGTCAGGGTTCTTAATGAAAATAGGGCTGCAACCTTTTACGGTTTTCTTGTTGCCTTTGGTAGAGCTCATGTACAACAAGTGCAAGCAGCAGATCGGTCTTCCCAATCCAGATTCAGTAAAGTAACGCTAGACCCGTGGCTTCCTATGTAATGTAGGGTGAAATCAACGATTTCGATGAAAAAGAAGCACTATGAAGTGCAAAGAAACCAAATGTTATTGTGTTGGCTTATGGTTGCTTGATATTTAAACCGGTACTATTACATATGCACTAAACTCTAATTTATCAGAAAAGATGAATAAAATCCCTTAACTCTTGCTTGTTTCGTTCATTTATTTATGATTGTTTTACTCCTCCTTTTCAGATCATATTTCAAACTTCAATTATCTCAGGGAATAGCTGAGCCTGAATTGCAGTTTGTTGGTAATGGGATTATTAAGGTTTATAAAGAGTTATAACTGCCCATTCAAGGCTAAAACTAGAAACAGAGTATACACACTTCAGCACATCCAAAGTAGAGGGTTCTCGAAGTCTGAGCTCTTCAATGACAGAGATGCAGTGCTTCCAGTTTTGGTCATTGGTGCTGGACCTGTCGGTCTTGTTCTCTCTATTCTTCTAACTAAATTAGGTACTAGTGAAGTTAAAGCATTGCTGTTTATAATTTGCCCATTTCTTGGTTTGATTGTCAGACTGTATTAGCTGCCAAAGTTTCAGTTGATACTATTGTAATGTAGTCTTTTTTAAAAGGGCATTGTCAAATTTGTGCATCAACTGTTTTTAGCACTGAATTCAAGGTTTATCGCAAAATATATAGTTTGTGATCATTAAAATGTATCCACATTATGATGCATTGATATGTTTGTGCCAGCTTATTTGAGGACCCTACATCAATTGTGATAAGATTATTTGGCGTTTTATTAACAATGGTTTTCTTCCCTGTGATTTATATTTTTGGTGCCAAGAATTGTCTTAATAATGGTTGTGTTTGGTTTCTTGTTAATTATTATCAATAATTACTCACTGGCACATTTTTTAATTGTTTCTGATTCATGATGACCGTAATGAATTTTTTTTCCATTTATATAATTGTTTGTCATTTGCACAACCATTATATAACAACGTCATTTGCATAATGATGTTGTGCAATCCATGTAGCCAATCCTATCTAGTGGGATAAGGCTTCTTGTTGTTGTTGTTGTGTAATTTTATATTAACCCTGCACTCATTCAAGCTGAATGACTGTTTAAGATATATAACTCTTTTTGTTACATTGTAGGGATTAAATGTGCAGTTTTGGAGAGAAACACTACATTTTCTAAACATCCACAAGCACACTTCATTAACAATCGATCCATGGAGGTTAAATTCTTGTTGCAAGATTCTCTCTTAAATTTTCCCCCATGCAAAAGCATTAGTTTTGACCAAAGTGTCACCTCAGATATTCCGCAAAATTGATGGCCTTGTTGAAGAAATCCAAAGCTCTCAACCACCTGTGGATTTATGGAGGAAGTTTGTATACTGTACTTCGCTCTCTGGTTCAATTCTTGGATCAGTGGATCACATCCAACCTCAAGGTGCTATTCTGTGGTCTGGGATCCTGCTTTTGTATCTGATGGCAATAGGAAGCTTAATTTTTATGTGAAATTTTGACATATTTTTTATATATAAATTGCTGCCAGCCAATATACTATAAGATCGTGTTCTTTCTGGTCAATATTAAGCGTTGTAATGTTACCCACAAAAAAAAGTAAGCCTGGGAAGATTCATATAATTTTTTGCTTATACAGATCTTGAGCATGTTATCAGCCCAGTCTCTGTTGCACACTTCTCACAGTACAAGCTGAATTCTTTACTAGTTAGGCAGCTTGAGGCTCTAGACTTCCAAATATGTGCACCTGAAAGCTCAGAAGGAAGTGAACGGTCCCATGAAATGAAAATACTGATGGGTCATGAGTGTGTATCTATTGATGCAAACAATGATTTTGTTACTGTAACTGCATCTTTGATGAATAAAGGGCAGTACGCGGAGAAGAAAATCCATTGTAACATCCTTGTTGGTACAGATGGTGCAGGAAGCACTGTGAGAAAGCTTGTAGGAATACAAATGAGAGGTGAGACAGACTTGCAGAAGCTTGTCAGTGTCCATTTTTTGAGCAAAGACCTTGGGCAGTATTTGCTTAAGGAGAATCCTGGCATGCTTTTTTTCATCTTCAATTCTGAAGCCATTGGGGTTCTTGTTGCTCATGATCTCAGGCAAGGGGAATTTGTATTGCAGGTATAACATGCTGCTGTCAATGTTTGAATATGACTACATTGTCTCACAAACTTCTAAATTCCATATATATCAAAAGTAAGATTTTTGTTGTGCTAATCACAGATGCCATTTTATCCACCTCAGCAAACAATTGAGGACTTCAGCTCAAAGGTATCTCCATTCAGTTTAGATGGTTAATTGACTGGATGTAGTTTACTTATGCTTGAAAAAGTTTATCTTACGGTGATGCATTAATTTACAACAACAACAACAACAACAACAACAAGCCTTTATCCCACTAGGTGGGGTCGGCTACATGGATTGCAAGACGCCATTGTGCTCTATCATTTATTAATCTTTTAGAAATATTATTAATTAAGAGATCACGTTCAACAACTTCCAAGAGTGTTCTCTTAGGCCTTCCTCTACCTCTCTTAATCGGACTCAAAGTTATATGTTCCACTCTTCTCACTGGTGCCTCCCTTGGTCTTCTTTGTACATGCCCAAACCATCTCAACCGATTTTCTACCATTTTTTCCTCAATAGGTGCCACCCTCACTTTTTCACGTATGTGCTCATTTCGAATTTTATCTTTACGTGTATGTCCGCACATCCATCGTAACATTCTCATCTCTGCTACTCCAACTTTATGCTCTTGCTGTCCCGTTAGAGCCCAGCATTCACTACTATATAACATTGCCGGTCTGATAGCAGTACGATAAAACTTTCCTTTAAGTTTATTAGGCACCTTACGGTCACAAATAACTCCTTTAGCTTTTCTCCAATTAAACCACCCAGCTTGAATTCTATGTGAAATATCTCCACTGATTTCGCCATCATTTTGAATAATGGCTCCCAAATATCTAAACTTTTCCACTTGAGGTATGATTTGATCTCCCAATTTCACTTTCAAATTATTTTCGAATAGTCTTTTACCAAATTTACAATATAAATATTCCGTCTTACTTCTACTCAGACGAAAACCTTTCGACTCCAATGTCCTCCTCCATAACTCAAGTTTGCAATTAACCTCTTCTCTTGTCTCTGCTATAAGAACTATATCATCCGCGAAGAGATGCATTAATTTAAATATGCTAAATTTAAATCTTTGTCTGATTGGAATGTGACTGATATGCATGTTTTTTCTTGACATTTGATGTTATCAAGTGTAGCATGAAATATTCTGAAATGGACTCAATTGTAGTAGGCATGTGAGAAGTTAATCAGCAAACTGGTTGGTCAGCAACTTGGTGACATAAATGTAATTGACATAAGGCCATGGGCTATGCATGCTGAAGTTGCTGAGAAGTTTATATGTTTTGGAAACAAAATATTTCTTGCTGGTGATGCTGCCCATCGATTTCCTCCTGCTGGTGGATTTGGTTTGTAGTTCTATATCTTTAAGCAACAGTAAAAGTCTACTGGTGTATGTTCAATATTACTTTGCATCTATACAAATGAGGTGGTGAAAGTCAATTAGCACAGATTATGAACATGGCTAGAAGTCTTTCCTGTCACACAAGTAAATGGGAAATGTTCTATTGGAATAAGATAGTGTCTATTGTTTATGGCATGGTGGCCTAGCCATATCAGACATGTCTGTTTGTCAAGGAAGAAGACACTGATGATGTACTTAAAGTGTTTGTTAACCAGGATTATATATTAGCATTATGTCATAAAATCTTCTTAAAAGCTGCACGTATTTTCTAAATTTTTTTTGAAGTGACTGAACAAGAGTGCGCTTATACAAGTTTTCTCAAGAATGCTAAGTGGATCGAAATATGTGATGTTATGTGGGCTATGTTTTTAGCCCTCAGTTATAAATGTCATGGTAAAGTAATGAGCTTTATAAACACAAATAACGTAGTTAAGAGTTAATGTTGTTTTATTTATCTAATAGAAAGCAGTCTGATGCAAAAATTCCGTCCATGACCTGCAGGAATGAATACTGGCATTCAGGATGTCCATAATCTTGCCTGGAAAATAGCTGCTGTGATAAAGGGTACTGCACCATCTTCATTACTAAATACATATGAAACTGAGCGTAGACCGGTAGTACTTTTATCTTCTTTTCCCTTTACCATTCATGTATATTTATTTGAAAGCTGGGCGGACCATTATAGCTGTTAAATACTGTCAGATTGCCATATTCAATACGGAGTTGAGCCTTAAAAATTACAAGGCTGCCATGGCAGTTCCTTCAGCACTTGGTCTTGATCCCACTGTTGCAAACTCAGGTACTCACAAGTAGTTGGATGCCTTTCTTTATCAACAATTAATTATTATAAACAATTGTTAACTCTCTACTCTATATTATTTTTAATTCTTTTCTTCTATTTTCAGTACATAGATTAATTAATACTGGGCCTGGTTTCATTTTACCACATGGATTACGGAAGGTAGCTTTGGAAGGACTTTTTGCAATTGGTCGAGCACAGCTATCAAAAACTATCCTAAATGAAAGTAATCCAGTTGGATCCTCAAGGCTGGCTAAGTTAAGGAATATATTTGAAGAAGGAAAAAGCCTTCAACTCCAATTCCCTGCTGAAGATCTTGGTTTCAGGTATATTACCATTAATTTCCTTTCCTCTATTTTAATTTCAGTTTTTTATTTTTTTATTTTTTTATTTTTGTATTTAAGTTGATTAGATTGAACTTGTGCTTAGCACATGTAATCATACTCCTGTTTATTTAAATGAGATGATCAAGCATTTGAGGACTCCCATCTAACTCTCATTTCTGGATTTAGATACCTACAAGGAGCAATTGTGGAAGAGAGTAATAATTTAGAGTCTACTCCACAATTGTCTACAGGTCGTCGGAGGGACTACATTCCCTCAGCCCATCCAGGATCAAGATTGCCCCACATGTATGTGAGGGTAAATAAAATGAATAAGGTTTGTATCAATATTAAATTATTAATATACTTTATAATTATGTTATATTTCATACTAATAATTTGTTGGGCTTAATTACACTATTGGGTTTTCATTGGCTCACACAGCATACAGTCTATAGACTTGCTTTTTTTAGTTGTCTTAAAATGTAGGGCTTGTTTTGTAGAATGTTTCAACTCTAGATCTTGTGTCCGGAGACAAAGTTGAGTTCCTTCTCCTCATAGCTCCTGTGAAGGAATCTTACCATCTTGCTCGTTCGGCGCTTAAGGTGGCAGAGGAACGCCAAATTTTGGTCAAAGTCTGTGTTATCTGGTCTAGTGGTTCTGTTGAACGGCTCAATGAAGGTAGTAAGGCGGCACTTTCACCTTGGGAGAATTATGTAGATGTCGTTGAAGTTGATAAGCCATCAACTTCAAATTGGTGGAAGATGTGTCAAATGAAGGAAAGTGGAGCTATTTTAGTTAGACCTGATGAACACATTGCGTGGCGTACAAGTTCAGGACTTACTGGGGACCCCATAGTGGAAATGCAGAGAATCTTTTCTATAGTATTGGGGATAATCTAAAAAAAATAATGAATTAATACATGATTCTGTATAATTTCAGCAATTTTATTGATGCAAGGTGTATCCGACGTAACAATGATATTGAACATTGGTTAATATGAGCGGAATGTTTTTTTATTTGCTGGTAAGTTCCTACTTCCGTCTGATGTGTCTATTTGATGTATGCGTATCAATGCTAGTCCTGTATCCTGTCTGATACGCCATATCTATAGGGATAAATCCTTTTCCAATTCTTCCCCGAAAAGAAGGTATGGGTTCCATTCTGAGACACTGTTACTGGCACGTGTATTGCATTCAATTTTATATGGCAATTTTTAAAATTTTAAAATACGAGCAAGAGAATGTATACAATACATATTTTAACATTTTTTGATATAGATTTAGGTGTCTTAATTTTTAAACAGGTATTTCTAAAATAATATAAGGGTATTTTTAACAATCAACCAAAATATCAAGTTTTTTTTATTTTTAAGTATTATGAAAAAAAATTATATATATATATATATATATAAGCATAATGCAAATGTTGGAATATATGATATGTATAATGAAGTGTCATACCTGCATCATGTTGAATACGTATTAGATACAAATGCGTTAATTTTTGTGAAGTATTGGTGTTTTGTAAGTTCTATTGGCTTTATTTAATTGAACTATTCCTAAGTCCCTGTTCTATTACTTCCCTTTTCTCTTTCTTCTTCCCCCTCCCCACACTTAAAAAAACAAAAAAAAAAAAAAATCATGGGCAGGTTGGGTTTGGATGTTGGTGTTGAGGGGATAGTGTATGTTTTGCTCTTTACAAGAGGTTGAAAATGAGTGGAAGTTACATCACCGTGAAATGGAAAGAGTATGATGCTAAAAACTTACTTAGCTCAATCTCTGTGAAATCGGAAGATTATATAAATAAATTTGGGGATAGCCTATGTATTTAAATTGTTACATATAACTGGGGCAACTGAAAGGAAAAGTAACTTGATCGAATAACGTGTTAGGGATTCTGAAATATCTCAAGTATATTGGCAACTGAATGATTCCGAAGGACAGAAGCTTCCCTTTGACTAGAACTGCAATCAACTCCTGTAACTGCTAGAGAAGGTCAAGTGCAAGAAAATGTACACTTGAGCCTGAAGAAAGGCACTGTACTGGGAGATGAACTAAACTGCGCGATTATGGATGCCGGCTTCCTCAAGTTTGACTAATTAGGTTATGGTTATTAGATGTCCAATAGCTGCTATGATGAGTCCAAGTATCCCACCCACAATGACCTACAGGATGAATCGGAATGTCAAGACAGAAAACTACTGATAATAGAATGATAGTTTAAAGGAAGATTTTTCTTGAGTCTTTTGCTATGTATAATGGAATGAAATAAGGAAAAAAATAAAGCAGAAATTTTTTAAATGTAAAATATCTCTTATATACTTGAATAAAAAGAAAGTAATAGAAAGGCACAATGATTATAAAGTACATCAATTTTTTTGAAAGAGGAAAGAACTACCTTCCCTTCCTTTCTACCTTTGATCTTTGAGGGTCATTTTGGAACAAAAATACCTTCAACCTTTATTTGATAGAACTTTAGCTCCATTTAGAAACAAGATAAAAAAATGGACTATCTTACAAAGCCTATATATCATTTTAGCATGCTGTTTTGATCATACAGGCACTATATTATGAACGTTCTGAAGTAATGCATTTAAACCTGCTAAAACCTCAGCACTTAGCATTTTGCAGTCACTATTTTGTGACAGCAATTATTAGTCGAGGGGATAATATGGTCATCGGTAATTATACTGAAATCAATCTTGATTAGTTGACGCAGAATAATATCCAAAATTATCATGTGAACAAGTATCCGTTGTAATAATATTCTTTGGCCTATCACATAATTATATGAATCGATCTAATGCAGAATGGGGAACCTGAACGGGAGTGTGACCAAGAAGTTCACGAAGTGGTATCCTCTCAGCCAGAGGATGCTCATCAGGAAGTTCATATATAATTTGGTTCAAAACCTGGGATCATTGAGTCATTTAAAATAAGCATAAACCGGCAAACACAGATAAGTAAAGAAATAATGCTATGTCAAAATGAGAAAAAGAGAAATGAGAAATCAAACCTCTGCTTGGCGTCCTGCTTGTAATCTTACACCAGTGGCATCATACATTACCTGCCATCAATCTCAAAATCTTCAATATTATCCCAATATGCGGACCATTCTTATAGCTTCAGTTTCTTGTGACAGCATATAGTAAATAAATCAACTGAAAACTTCTTTGTAACACCTCAATATAGATTAATGTGAAGAATTTAAGAGAAAAATCGTACAATACAAGCCAAGAGTAAAGCAATGGCAAACAGAGATCCTCCTAAGCCTTCCTGGAATCCAATAGCTGCAGCAAGAGCAGTTACAGTTGCCGAATGAGAAGATGGCATTCCGCCAGAACCAACAAGCTGCTTGAGATCACATCTTCTCTCCTTAAACCTGTAAATCTATGAAACATTAAAACTCTTAGGATGAACCACACGGTAACGATAGAGACCAGAGAAACAGTTTCTTCATGTGTCTAGGTTGGAACTGAGAATTTGTAATTCATCAGAGAAAATCACCAAGTTACAAGTCAAAAAAAATAAAGTCAATTAACAGTTAAACTTTACAAAGAACAGATCCACGTCATTGAGCACACCCGGTTTGGTATTTAATTCCCATTACCAACCGTTTTCTTTAAAAAATTACTAAAAGCCGCACACGCGCAAACATCACACAGAAATTTTTGGAACTTGAAGAATTGCACCAGTTGTTTCAGTATCCTTAGCTTCAATTATTACTAGTCTCAAAATCGTAACAAGATAATCAAGCTATATACACCAAAGCATCCGAGTTTTTTTTTTTCTTTTTTTGCCCTTTATTGTTATTTTTATTTTATTTTGTAGTTCATTGAGCTTGCCCTGATCCACTTACGGCATAAGAATATGGTTTCGTAGGTAACAAAAGCAATCAAGCAGGAAAACCAACCAAACGGAGAAGAACTTGGTGGATTGAGCGACGACGAAAGCGACGAAGGCAGATATCAGAGGGTAATTCGCGATGATTGAGGAGGGCGAAGATGAAGCATGAGTGAAGACTGCCTCATCCATAGCTTTCCTTCGCTTTAATCTTCTCCACCGATTTGGTCAATTTCAGATTTGATTTTCTGCGGCAAAAGCTTGGGAATGCTTTGAGATTTATGTGAGGCGGCGTTTCAGGCAGCGAAGTTGAGAAGATGAGAATTATGAAGAGAGAAAAAAGCACGAAGCTCTTGAGAGTTTCTTGTAGGTTTGTTGGAAGAGAGTAGTCATTTCTCCAACGTTCTCATATCTAACTAACAGTCATAGCTTTTTTGAACTGAATATGCCTCCCTTGTTCTCATCAGCCATCTAGAATCTAGCATATTGTCACGGATAATATTTCCGTGACTGTGTAAAGACCAAGATAATGAACGGTCCGCTGGTTAGCCTCGCACAATATGGGTAAAGGGGGCGACATTAGCATTGGGGTGTTCTGCCTCAGTCTTCGGACTGTGTGCACAACTGGTCGGGGGCTAGTGCCGCCTCCCTGATGAGCCCATGGCAGGGCGAAACCAGTGTGATCCGTACGTGGTAAGGCTTGTCCTGAGGATTATGGGGGTCCTCCAGGACGCCGCACGGGCGCCGTGTGCTGCGCCAGACTCTCAGCCCGTGACAGAGTGGTATCAGAGCAGGACGTACTTTACTGTCGTGTGCGCGTGGGGTCCCACGTTGGGACTGGTCGGCCTCGGCACTGCTCCAGAAAGGCCTCCGAGCAGGTGGGTCCAAAAGTGGGGACTCGGGCGGGAAGGTTGGCCGTTTGTCGACTCCACTCCTGTTGGCTCGCGGGTGCGAGTGGGTCCGAAGAGTACAGGATTCGGGTGGCCACTCAGCAAGTAAGTTGATGTGTTTGTGGTAGTACTGTACGTACGATCCTTGGGCGGAGTCGTTCTCCCCTAGCACGAGGGCGTGCTAGATTGGGTGTGGGAGAATGTCACGGATGATATTTCCGTGACCGTGTAAAGACCAAGATAATGAACGGTCCGCTGGTTAGCCTCGCACAATATGGGTAAAGGGGGCGACATTAGCATTGGGGGTGTTCTGCCTCAGTCTTCGGACTGTGTGCACAACTGGTCGGGGGCTAGTGCCGCCTCCCTGATGAGCCCATGGCAGGGCGAAACCAGTGTGATCCGTACGTGGTAAGGCTTGTCCTGAGGATTATGGGGGTCCTCCAGGACGCCGCACGGGCGCCGTGTGCTGCGCCAGACTCTCAACCCGTGACAATATGCTCTAATGTTAGATTTTTCTTCTATTTTAGATTTTTTTCTTTTGGTTCCTTCATTTCGTTCTATTTCAGCTCAATCCAAAACTAGTGGAGGAATGCCGGTGAAGCTTTTTAAATTAACTCTTTTAGTTGGGCAATGTTTTTTTTTCTTTTTTTATAAGCAAAACTTAAATAACTTATAAAATGAGGATGGATCTTGTGATTTAAAGTAGAGAGAATGACAAAGAGATCCTAAAAGAATTAATTAATTTAAGTTAAGTTTTAAATGTTAAATTTTAAAAATTTATAACTCAATCTCTTAATTTTACAATTATATTGTAATGAATTTATAACTTATTTTTTAAATTTCAACGTGGTTAAAGAATAAACAATTATTTTTTTGTTAAAATTTAAAATACAAGTTGCAAATTCATTATAATAAAATTATAAAATTAAGAAATTGAGTTATAAATTCATGAAATTTAACACTTGAGACCTAATTTAAATTAATTGATCCTTTTAAAATTTCTTTATCATCCTACCATTAAAGTATTTGCAAAAAGTATTTATAAATTTTTCATTAATATAGTCTTCACATAGATAGCTTGCTTGGAAACCATCCAAAGGCCTTAGTATTAGAGTTTCATCTTTATTAATTTAATTAAGCTTTCTTAGTTGTACCACTTCCCTCCTTTAAAAAAGGTTTTGTGTTGGAATCTGGAATTAACTTGTAATATATGTGGTTTTTTTAAAAGAAAAAAATTAATCAATTTTCATGGTTTTAATATTAAGCAAAACAACAAACAGGGTAGTATAGCCCTATAAATACTAAATTGCATGATATAATATTATCTGATAATTAAATTAAAATGTATTTTATAATATAAAAATATTTTTTTAAAAAAATAATGTATTACTGGCAATAAATAATATATATATATATATATATATATTTCTTTATAAGTTGACATATCTCCGTGGGATCCAACTGGAAAACATCCAAAGAGACATGTACACAAATTACTAGAATTAATTTACTAGTGTTTGATAAAGAGTAAAGATCTTTAGTTCTTCTCGGAATTTTTTCGATTATCTGGAAGTCAAAAATTGGACAGATTTAATTCGTGTTCAAGCATATTTTTCATATATGACATGTAACTTTTTTGTATGAAATTACTACGAGATACTAATTTTAGCTGGGGAAAAAGAAAAAGCTTTGATAGCAGAGACATGAATACACGCTTTAAATGCTTCCACTTAGTCCTCATTTTGCTGAACTATGCCTATGTCACTAACATACTCCCCCCCCCCCCCCCAAAAAAAAAAAAAAGTCTATGTCACTAACATTGCTGATTATTAGCTAATAACTCATAATATCAAAATTTTCAAAATTCAGGTCATCTTTACTCCTTGTTTTTTCACCTGCATATAGATAATGGATCTTCTCTGAGTAAGTGTTATGATTATCTAACAGAACATTTAAAGTGTAGAAATATAATTCTTTTATAAAATATACTCTTATTCTCTTGTCTTTAAATTTATTCCTTCATATCACTTGAAGCTAATAGGTCACAACACAAAAATCAAATTTATTATTTAAAGTGAAATAAATATATAATTTGATTTATAACATACGGTGAGTTACAAATTATGAGAAGTCAACTAGAGAAAATTTTCAGGTTCATAAAAAAAAACGAAAGAATTTTTTCCTTATGAAATAGTGTGTGTTCAGTTTGTGAATATCACAACTTATTATAGATTTTATATTTTTATATTGACTTCTAAAAATAAATCTAAGGTTATTAAATTATGGAGAAAGACCAAATCATATATTTAATCTTTTTTAAGAGGAAAGGAAAATGTAATTAAATGTTAACTAATTGAAGGTTAACATTTTAATATGATCACCAAAAAAAAAAAAAACAAACTTGGCATTGCACATTTTGCCATATATGCAAACATGTTGTGAATAAAACCCTACAAGTTTCGTCCTTCCTCCTTTTTGATGTGGATTTCTTAACATTTTCCTCGTAATCCCCCATTGTTTTTGTAACAAACCAGTCTAGTGTTTGAAGTTACATTGAACTTTAACTAATCTAAATTCAAGCCAGCTCGAGCTCCAAATAAGTTACTCTTAAAAGTATTTTCAGCATTTACATGAATTTAAACTTAAAATCTTATATTAAAGCAATCATAACCCTTCTTGCCAAGGAAAATTTTCTAAAAGTATATTACAAAACAAACAGAGCCTCAGAAACAAATACGTTGGGGTAACAGAAATTAAGGATTAACACAGGGCACAAGTAATTGACACAATAGATAAACCACTTGTAGTTGTAATGAAGTCATTATGGCTTTCACGATCTTAACGAATATGAATTGGTGAGTTCTACTTCACACTTGCACTGATGGATCACCTTCAGTGAGATGGAAATCAAATAACAAGAATGCAGCAATTAGAGGGAGCAGACTTCTCCAAATGCTCCTAAAACCTATCTATGGCCTACGAACCGAAAAAAAAGGAAGCGGAAAATATGTAACTTTACAATTATGTCAAGCACAATGTGACATTTCTTACAAAATATGTCGGACCAACATGAACATGGCTGTTATCACAAACGGCCTTCAAACAAGCATGAGGCAAAGATCTATACAAACCAGCCAAAGGGAAGAGCGGAAATGCTGGTGCGAATTTTAAGCACAACCCGAAACAATGAACTCTCACATTATGGTGCAATTACACTTCGATTCAACCTTCGGAGGCTTCATGCTGTCCACCTTGTTAGGAAGCCCGGCATTGTGTTTGAAAGACTCATCGACAACTTCATCTTTCTCAGTCTCGCCACCGGGGGATTTGACATCAGTTTCCACTTTCCTCTCCCTTGCCTTCTGGGATTTCAATGTGTGCCTGAAAACAGCTCGGCTACGCAAACCCTTCCTACTATTGGCTTTGGGCGTCTCTGGTATAGTCACAGTTGGTTTAGAACCTTCCAATGGGTCGGAGCTTTCCTTTTCCATTGCTACTGTCGCAGCCTGATATGCAAGGTCATGGACAATGGAACTGCAAAATAGTATTACATCAGTTGCCTCTTCCAGAGTCAGGCTTCTAGGGTTGCCTCCACCTGGATACTCCACTGTAACTGTTGATTCGTCTGTCATGAAGCAATGGAAATCTATCAGAGAGTATAGTTTACAAGTAGTGGAGGTAAAATGCAGTTAAAAGAGAAGTATCTGCTTCACAAGAGAAAAAAATGAAGTGACACTATTCTCCTCAACTAGAAAAATTCACACGTCTGCATGGATGATTAACATATTTTAACCGTAATATGCTGGAGACATGAACTAAAAATGGCAAGCAAACAGTGAATCCTTCCTCAATTCCATTGAGTGGACCAATGGAAAGCAACAAACGAGCAAGACTTTCAAAATGCATTAGACTCACAAATTTTCAACCTTGAATATGAAAACTTGTAAGAAAGAAAACAACATTAAGAATACAAGAGAAAATATTCTTGTCATTTCAGAAGTTGCATGCATGTGACTAAAGTATAAATGGCCTGCAAATTAATACTGAAGGCAAACCCATTCTTACCAACTTTCAGAAGCAATAAGGATTAGCTCAGCTGCTCAAGCATACAAAAAAATATATACAAGTAGTCATATAGCACACCATTTATTGCCACTTATTTTACCAAATTAAGAATCGCAGAGAGCAAATCAAGAAACAATCTTTTCAATAATTTAGACTCTTCCCCTGACAATCCTGATCTTGGGAGTTCAGAAGCTTACTATACAAGATAATGAAAATGGACTAGAATTTATTGTCGCCATATATCATTTACATATCTCATCAAATCGTTCAAAATCAGAGCAAAAAAACTGTATGGAGTGGGGTGATCTGGTGATTGCATAGGCAAGGACAAATCTGAGAGAAGAGAGTGAGAAGTGTGTGAAAAATTTTAATTACCAGGGATTTTAATACAGTAGATGTCATACCTATACCATGGGAGCACTCAGATGTGTTGGTATCAGGAAAAGAGGTATCACCAGGATTTGCAATAGAAGATTCCTGACAATCATTCACAGCACGTTTTGATATCTGGGATGGATCATCCTCTCCAACACCAGGATTATTCTGACAAGAAACTTCCCTTTCAACTTCGGATTCTGTAGATGTCAAAATGTTGGTGGCAGGCAAAGCATCCGATCCATCAAGATTAGCACACTGCACATCAGATTCCTCATCAATGGATAACCCTGGAGCCATAACTGCTGCTTCTATATTTGAGAGATTCCTAGCATTATTTGAATGATTGTCAACATTTTCATCAGAACAATCCCCAGGATTTCGAAATAATGCCATTGAACTGCCATCAGGCTGAACACCAACAGCCTGGCTCAGTAATTCTGAATTACAAGCATCTGCACCACCATCGTGATACTCAAATTTATTTTCCTCAATTGCTGAATCCATAGGAGAAGCATCAGTTACATCAGTCACTAAATTTTCCGGAGCTTTCACTTCTGAAATTATAGGTATCTGTTCTGTAATGTCATATTCTGTCTCTTGTGTTGCAAGATCTACTCCATGATGAGTATAGTTTGAAGTTCCAGAAAAAGATGACCCACTACGTTCATGCTTGATCCTTATTTCATGTCCAGCGTCTACATCCAACTTCCTGCCACTTGACTGTCGTTGCACACTGGAGTCCATTTTTTTCGCCGGGCTAAAATCAACTGATGATGAGGCAGAATAACTTCCATACCCAGTGGAACTTCTGATACTGTTTACACTTCCTCTCGCAAGAGAGATATCATCATAGGATATGGTTGTCGCAGTAAAAGTCCTGCCCTGAACTACCGGTCCTTTGTTGCTGCTTGACCTCCTCAGCAATACAGATATGCCAGTACCTCCCAAGAGGTCCATTTTTGAATTTGGACGATCATTGTGGTGAGACAACTGCCGGTCCCCAACATTACTATAAGGATTTCTGCAATCAACTTCTGATTGGTCCATGTTTGACTGGTTGGTGGGCATCCAGCCACTTCCCTCTGCTGGTGAGCTTGGAGGAGGAATTTGTAGTGACTGATCCTGGATTAGCTTATTGTATGAAGTTTGGCTATGCTCAGCATCTCTCTCACCAGGAGGAAAGCTCGAATCCACATTGGTATCTTGAGGCAATTCACAATCAACCATTAATTTATCAGTTTCAGCTACTGGTTTTTCTTCAATGGACACATTTGTAGAAAACATTGAAGAGTCTTCAGTGACTGCCAAAACTGTCTCCTGGGGGATGACTCTCAGCAGTGTGTATTTCCCTCTGCATTCTGGACAAAGCCTAACATCCTTCTCTGTTTGATCAGAGGCCTGATATCGGCAACCACACTGAGAACAGATTGCTGCATTTTCAAAATTATCAGTTTCCAAAATCCCATTTTTGACATCGGAAGTTTCTGAACTTTCAATGGTTGTAGTGGCAATACTGTGATAAAAAGAATCTTCAGATATAGTGGGATCATGATCAATCTTATAACCTTTACTTTCATTATGATGTATATCAACTGATTCATTGGCAATCTCATGCCCAGTGTTGGCATTTATTATATCATCCTTATCAAAGGCAAATACTTCTTCATGTATGTCAGGATATGGTATTTTCTCAGCTTCACTTGCCCCATCATCTTGGTTGTGATCACTCCCTTCAGTATCATGTGCAACACTTGTACCTTGATCAGAGCTTGCATTGCTGCTTGTTGTGATAGAGGAATTCCTAGATACCAGAGAATTATTACGGGCAGAATTTGCTTTTCCAGCATAAAAGGTAGTACTCGGCACACTAGACAAAAGCGGCCTGAACATGTTCTGAGGACTTTTTCGATCCTGCACAACATTGAATGGTGTCTAAAATGAGTTAGAATTTTGATTACTATCAACAATTAACACACATTCAATAAAAAAATCGTGCTAAAGAGAGATGAGAAGACATTGCAAACATCTAGATCTGGATCCAATAGATTAACACCAAATATTTTCTAATTAATCTCTCACCAAACATTTTATAAGCATATCTGGCACTATAATTATCACATGTGTGAACCAAGAGAAAACACTAATAGCTCATGCTTGATCAGGCATCTCACTTTAGTGCAACAATAAATTCAATCTTCATCATTGATTACTTTGAAATCAATTACGAAGAGTAGTTGACGTATCATATATTGTACAATTAAATACATCCAGGAGATATCAGGCATCCAATATCAACATTGAAACTGAAAATTTTAGCTAAATTCAGGATTGTATCTGAAATCATTTTACACATAAAACGAACTTTTGCAAACTTCCCTTTATTGGCATCCAGATAGAATTACAAATTGAATGAGTACACTTTATCATTGATAACTTCAGTTTAAATAGAGAGCATTTTTGTAGCAAAGCATTCCTAAAGAGAAATTATGTGTGTGTGCATGCTCACATGAGCACATGCATGTATAAGTGGGTAAGAGACCCAGGAACTACAAGGATGCATATCCAGACTAATTGATCTTCTAATGGCATGGAAACTTATGAATTAAACACACATCAAAATTGCTTGTCAACAAATCTGGCAGCATACCATAAAGAGCTGAAAGTATATTAGTTTAAGTAAATCAAACATTAAAATACCATTTGGCGAAGGGCAGAGTCAAATGATCTTTTTGGAGCAGAATTTGGCGAAACCATTTTGGCTGTCTTCTTGGAAATGGCAGGAGTTCTGTTATTTATAAATGAGCCACTCCTTCTCGAATTTAGCCAGTCTAAACTACCCACTTGGATGGACTGTATAGAGTCAGTTTCATCATCACCAGATGATGCAATAGAACCTTTGCTGCGTGAGCTAAATTGGTCTCTATCATGACTACGAAATGAGCTACTACTTCTAGAAGCAGTTGGAGACATTGACTGCCTACTGTATTTAGCAGTAGAATCCTTTCCATTCCTGGACGCGGGTGATGAACCCCTTACATATGATGCTGGTCTGTCAGCCAGAGAAGTTCGAAGATTTGGGGGAGCTTCAGAGGAGAAACCAGGAATGTTAGTTTGCCATGCCCTTATCTTTGGTGAAGCAGAGTTTCCACGACTTGTCTTGACTGGAGAAGTTCCCCTGACTCCTGATGAAACTACAGGACCATTGGAGCCAGTGCTCATCCTCCTAGGAGTAGGAGTAGAGGACCTCGGTGCAGGTGTTGAAGGCTTATTTGGAGGAGTAGATGGTCTTCTTGATGGAGTAGCATGGCGCAAATTTTGAGTTGGGCTGGAATTGGACACTGATGATGGTCCAGCCCTTGACTGGGATGCATTATTTCCAGTACGAGGAGATGGGCTAAGGCGATTTGGACTTGCACTACCCCTGCTACTTCTGCGACTTCTTTCCATCTGAAAGAGGTTAACATCCAATATGAGATAAAAGACTTCCTGATGGAATACTGAATTAAGGATAATTAAGATTATTTTATTATTGCCGTGCAATAATTGATTAGGATATTTTATTTAAATAAGGATATCAAGATATGTTTTATATTTATTTTCAACAAGGATTAATTAGGATTTAATACGAATTACTTCATCTTATCATTATCATATCTTTTTAGGATTATTCTAGATCTAGATTTTATTATTTTAAATAATTATGCCTAGGGCTTTATAAATAACTCTAAGGTTTTTCTTTAGTTGCCAGACCTTTTTTGATGAATTGAATAAAAATGAAAATTGTGTTCGCTCTCTCCTTCAAGTTCTTCTTTTCTCCCTCAATTCTCTCTATTTTCTCTCTCTCCTTTCTTTCTATTTCTCCCTCCTTCCCCTTCTCTCTCCCCTTCCCCCTCCCTATTTTACATTACTTCCAATGCTTCAAGAAGATTTATTTGAAATGGAAAGAATACATAACTATGCATAACTATATAATCAGATTCAAAAGCTTACCGTAGAAGATCTTGATATGGAAATAGGTTTACTCTGAGGCCTTCCTCTGCTTGCAGCATTGATTGGATGTGGCTCATCATCATCCAATGAAGGAAACAGTGGTGTGTCTGGGGGTGTCAGTAACCTTGAAAAATAATAAACAAAGAACGTATTAGCAAACTAAGCATTGCAAACCAGAGATAACTTTATGCACATCAAAGTCTCAAGCCACTAAAAATAGTTGAACTATTGGCCAACTAAAAATATATGTACTGAAGTGGAATAATGATGACTACAAATGCTTGGCTTTTGAATCATGTATAGGATTGCATCATAAAACATCATTTAACCCTGAAAAAAAATAAATCCAAAAGGGTGGAAAACACTACACACCAGTCATAGTCATTCTTGTCACCATCTGCATTAAGCAATCCACTGCTTTCTCCTCGACCAGGAATGGAGATCCCAAGCTTAACATCAGAAAAATGCCTCAACTTCACAGCTGTAAATTAAAGTTTAAGACAAAAAGGAGATATGCATCATTATCACTCAAGAAAAAATGTACCAAGAACATATAAAATTTTCTTTTAGGGTGCCTTGAAGAAAATTACAGAATTGGTCTTCAAGGTTATCTGATGACTGAAGCAAAAAATTCTCTGATTCTCTGGACTGCATTTCATTGAACAAAGCAAGATCATCATCTTTCTCCCTATAGAGCAATCCACCTTCAAGACTGCGCCCACGCTTGTGACTGATTGTTTTTGGCTCTCTTCCGGGAGAGAATCTCAATGCTGGGGAAGGAGGCATTTCCACCACCCAAGATTGTATTAGAGAAATGTCACCTAGAGCTCTCCATACAACCCAAAATCGATAACCTACAGAACACTAGAGTGCAACCCAGAATTGACATATAGCTCAAGCTCACTGGGAATTCAAGCCCCAGCAATCAGTTTGGGCAGCAATCGTATTCAAACTTGTACGGCATTTGCTGTCTTCTCGAGCTTTAGTTTAATTCAATCCAAACACGGATTGACTTCACACTTAGAGTGATCGAGTCGACTGGACCGCATATCTTGCAAGAACGCAAGGAAGCATGCAATACGACGGGAGTGACTGTACCATTCATAAAGCAATGTCTTAAAAGCCAAATGTAACAAATATCCGAAACCAAATTGACAAATTCGTTCTGTAAGTGTCCTAAAAGTCAGAAACCCTAGAACATTTGCCAATTGCAGATCACAATTTGCACTATCGTCATTGAAAAGAAGGTCCAAGTCAAACAAAAATTCAACTTCACTACCCATTAAGTGAGCATTGAAGTTCAAAGTGCATAGTAAAAACCCCCATTAAAAAGCAGTAGATAGGACTTGACTTACCAATTTCCCAATTCAAATTGCTTCAAACACGGAATGGAAGCTCAAAGAGTGCGCTTAGGATCCCAAGTTCGAAGATAAAACAGAGCTCGAATGCCAATTACAATGCGACGAATTTAGTTTCAGACAATCGGATCTATAGCATTCGTAGACTGAAAGTGGCAACCAAAGTACAGATCGGAGCTTTAGAGCAATCGGACGGTTGCAACAAACCGAAAATTTTCTGGCATTCTCTCTTCTATTTGCTAAAAAACAATTTAGAAGTGAAAATTAAGAATATCCAAAACCTTTTGTTGCTGTCGTCTGATTTGCGCCTTTCCCCAATAACAAGCATTCTTTTAAAAAAAAATACAACGCTTATACTGTAGTTTTCATTTAAATTTATATTAATTTATCTAAAATGTAAAATTTAAAAATTAATTTTTGATGTAAGAAATAATACAGCATATCAGAATATGGGTATCTATATATAAATTATTTATTTCATATTATTTCTGGATCTATTTACAAGATAGAACTTTAAAATATTAGTCTCCTTTTTCCTCCGTTTACATTCTCATCTTATTAAAAAATGTTAAATTTCCTACCGAAATAGCGTTAAATTTATATCTAACATGTCATTTCTTTTGTTTATCGCCATATAACATGTCATTTCTAATCATGTACTTTTTTTGGCCTGCAATCATATACTTGTTGAAACATTCAAAATTTTTATTAAAAGCCCTATATGATTTCACTTTACAATTATAATTGGTATGTTTTTGGTCACCACTTTATAATTGGTATGGTTCAAGACATGCGTGAGATCATTTAATGTCCAATTGTGTTCCAACTTTTAAAGCAGAGGTTGGTCGTTGTACAAGCAATGGCTTTGAAATTGAAATTGATTGCCATCACTTACTGTTTTTCGTACAAAAATGCTATTCTCAATTTCTGTCCAAATAAAAAAAAAAATCAACATAAACTCTTCTTTTATTAATCTAATGTTTGATTTAGTAATTAAAATATATTCAAAGAGATCGAAAAAAGAAAAGGATGATATAAAAAGAGAATAAATCAGACACAATTTTATGAATCATATAATTTTATTTTGAATTTTGAAAAAATTTTAGAATAAAAAGTCTCTTTCTTAAAAAAAAAAAAAAAAACTTACACACACAAGTGATGATTAGCCAAACTGTCTAAAACCAAATGCATTGAACAATCACAGTCAAAGGTATCATTTTGGTGAGCTTAACATGTTAAACAAGCAATGTGTCCTAATTAGTCATATTTGGAGCCTCTGAGTCTCTTTCCAATGACAAAAAACAATTGTTGCAATAATGAGTAAGCTATGTAATGTATATTTCATAAAGACTTTATTATATGGCAGTTTTTAAAATGATTTTTTAGTTTTTAATATAAAGCATATAGAGAGTTATTTATTACTATTTTTTAATTTTATCTCTATTATAAATTTAATGTTATGGCTTATCATATATACTATACAATGTCTCTCTCTTTTTAGTTTTAATAGGGATAAATTTAAAAAATTATTTTATTTTAAAACATATTTAATGAGTTAATTATCATCCTTTAATTTTAATAAAATAGTTGAGAGGACCTTATGACAGAGACAGAAGAGAGAGTATACACAAGTAATGTTGTCCAAAAACATATAAGTTCCAAGAACAAAAAAAAATAGCCAACGAAAATTAAGAAAGAAACTTGAGAACAAAGGAAAGAAAAAGAAAGGCGTTACGTGGGACATAGAAAGAAAATGTCAACATAACAACTACGTTATAATTAGCTAATTGCTAGCTGTTTGTGTGTCTGGACTACGAGCTAATCCAGAGATTAATTATGGAATTATTATTATGTCACTTTAATTGGTGGGTGAGACAAAAGGATATATCAAAAGCCCTCACGCTAATCATTTGAATTTCATCATCTATATCCTCTACAGCTCATTCATTTGGTTCTAAACTTATTTAATTAACAACGTTGTTTTGTACACTTACTGTTTTTTTTTTCCCTTATAGTTTTTATAATTAAATTAAGAAAAAATAAAAATAAAATCTCTTTAAAATATATAAATAACAATTTAATTCCTCAAAATACCATAATTTTCTAGAAGTCTCTGGGAATTTTGCTGTCATTAATGAGTTTATATAAATTATCAAATTGTTTTTGTTGAAAATAAATTATGTACAAGTTTTATTTAAATATTTATAACTTTTCTTCTTATCTTCGAAACGATGCAACAGCTTTAGCCAATTCACAATTTATATTTGCTTTGATGTTGTATCGTTGTGAATATAAGAAAGAAAGTTGTGAATATTTAAATAAAATTTGTGAATCATTTATTTTTAATAAGAATAATTTGATAATTTATATAAATTCATTAATAACAGAAAAGTTTCTAAAAATTTATGAGAAATTATGGCATTTCAAGGGACCAAATTATTATTTATATATTTCAAAGGGATTTTATTATCATTTTCCCTTAAATTGATTCTTTGGTAATGATATTATACTTATGTTGGATTCTTTGGATTTTAAAATTAATTAAATGAGGTTACATAGAAATTTTTTAAAGTTATGGAACCAACGGTCAAGCAGTTTTTTTTTTTTTTTTAAATTTCAAGTGGACAAATAAATAAAAGCTATATTAGGTTTATGATTGTACCTCCAAAAACATCTGATTATATAATCGGATTCTCCATATTATTAAACTATTTAAGTGAGAACAGAAGCTTTAGAGCTGTACTCCATCAATCGTTTAATTGTCTAAGTCAGGATAAAGAAATAGAAGGGAATTAAATAATTTAACTGAGGAAATTAAAATATGCAAAGCCTCATCTCCCTCCTCTTTCTTCTTCTTCTTTTTTAATCTCTCCCCACATCATCAGATTTAAATATGACAATTAAGAGAGCATAGGTCTGCTATTTATTCTTCAATAAATGGATATAAGTTGGTTAATGTCTCAATGATATGAAAGGAATAAGTTGGTACACCGTTAAGAAAATAATTAAAAAAAGAATATAGTACATAGTAATTACATGAATAGAATTCATAACACTTGTATCTTATAGTTAATAATAGAATAAAATGAAATTAATGAGAAATTGAAGTGAATAACAACAATTTTGCCAATATATCCACCAACAAACAAATGAAAACGAATACATATAATAATTATAAAAATAAAATAAGTACAGTGTATTCGACCGGGGGGGAAAAAAACTAAAACAATAAGTGCGGTCTATTTGTGCAATAAAATTTATTTCTTACATTAGACAATAAATTGTAATGACAAAAAACATTGAAAGCTTATATTTGATTTTTTTTTTCCCTTTACATGTTTACTTCAAAACATCTGTGACTACAAAGTCAGCATTTGATATTATCTAAAAATCAAGAGAATTCCATATTTCTTATTTTTAATAAATCTAAATTTAATATAAAATGTTTTAATTAATATTTGTTTATTTGTTTAGGGGAATTATAACAATGGCCCTCCCCCTTTTTCAAAACCACAATATTAAAAAGCCAAACTATAAACCAGTGGACTATGTAAAGATCCCTCTCACTACTACCTGAATAACTAAAATTTTAAATAATTAAGAGATTATCTTAAAGTAAGAATGACAAATTTGTTAAATTATACAAATGACATTTTAAGATTTTAATATTTAAAATACTCTCATACACTTTTAATATATTCAAATCAGAATTTAAAATGTGTGCGAAAGCCTAAAATAAAAAAAAACAAAACATTTACATATAACTCAAATAGTGAACTATACAAGAAAACTACACATGCGTTATGGCTAATTGCTCATGTGCTGTGATGCATTGCAGGAGTTTGACAGCATTTTGTTATCAAATTGGCAGCACAGAGGATGAACTTTCGATGTATCTCATTTTTTCGTTTGACATTTGATTGAGGTGATCTTGGTGTTTACAGAAAAATTTCTCATAACTTTAGCTAATGGTACAAGTTTTATAATTAAGTTTTTTTTTTACAAAGAATTGGACACCTAATACCAATTTCACTCTTTTTTCACATTAACTCACATCTAAGGTGCTCAAACTCCAACAAATGAGTCAAAAATCTACACCAACTCTTGGACCACACTCAATGGACTATTTAGGACTTGTGCAACACACCATAATCCAAAACAACATGCATATATCATAAATTTAACCCTCAATCCCTCAATCCACAAAAACACAAGGGGGAGATAACTTTGTATTAAATCATGAATATTCATTCAAAACAACTTAAATACACTTTACTCTACATACACTAGTATTTGACCTTATACAAACCTTACAACCACATGTCAATAATTCAAGGTATGAAATACACACAATATTTTCATTTATAATGCAAGTAGTTCAAAACAATGGTATGAGTCCAAGTTGGCCAATTAACCATTGAAATACACTTAAATAAAATGAAGAGGCCTTCAAATAGCATTTACTCATAATCTTATGTTTTTGGTTGTTTTCCCCGATCCTAATCCAATGAGCTCAATCTTAAAAATATTGAAGGATAAGAGGTGAATACAACTACTCAATAACCAATGTCAACCTAATTTATATAATTACATATCAATTAAAAATGGATATAAATGGCAATAAACTCAATTTTCATACACATGTGGCAATTATAGCCTCGATCACAACAATAATAACTATGTGATTGGGCATGCAATACATATTATCAGATATTACAATTATCACTAAAAAAGTAGGTTAGAAATGCCACTACCATGCCTCGTCAAAGGATTATCACAATGATAACCTGGAGTGATCATATTCCTATCTAAAAGAGAAATAGAGGAAAATAGTAGCCAAAAAAGAAGAAGGAAAAAGAAAAATAAAGAAACAACCGATAAAAAAATAAAGCACAAAATTGAATAATATGAAGCCAACCAAGCATATCATGGCACTATTTAAGGCTGTTTAGGGTGCCTAATAATTAGTCTACCAAAAAAAATGGCCAATTTAAAGAAAGAACAAGATGCTTGAAGAGAATCAACCATAGTCGAGTTGGGTTCAACCATTGGGCAGGGCTAAGGTTAGGGTTGAGGTGTTGGATCAACATACTTGATCCTACTTGAGGCTAAATAAACAAATAAGGGGAGGGTGATAGATTGTAACATTGTTTTGTTGACGGGAGGGGTTTTATTTTTCATTCCACTCATTTCTTTATTCTCTCCCTCTCTTCATTTTTTGCCCAAATTTTCCTAG